CAGATAGGAGCACCCAATAACCACACAGGTTCTCACAGGGCTTCCTGTGAATGACCTGGGCAAACCCAGGGACCCGCGTAAAAGCTACTTGACCTAGGGAAGAGCCTACAAAAGGTGACATCAAAGCTGTAGGATGAAGGCTGGGCAGTGAGGCTGGTAATAAGCCACACAGGGTACTGCCTCCTCTGAATGGATAAAATCTTCTTCTCGCAACCTGAGGTTTCCTTAGTCAAGGTGATCTGAAAAGTTCTGCACTGATGAAAAGTCTGTTCATGTTGCTGGGTGGTGGTGGCGCACGCCTTTAATCCCAGCACTTGGGAGGCAGAGGCGGGTGGAACTCTGTGAGTTCGAGGCCAGGCTGGTCTACAAGAGCTACTTCCAGGACAGGCTCCAAAAACCCTGTCTCAAAAAATGAAAGAAAGGAAGGAAGGAAGGAAGGAAGGAAGGAAGGAAGGAAGGAAGGAAGGAAGGAAGAAAGTCAAGTCCGTTCATGCTATCTTGAGAATCAGGATGGCCAATTAGTTCTCTACCTGTAGCCCTGACTGTGGTGGTCCCCAGCTTGCATGTCTGGTTCCCCAGCATGAATGAGCTCACGGAAGGCCTGGATTCCGTCTTCCACCTTTGTATCCACAGCGTGGGCTTTGCTCATTCTCTGTATCCAGGGTACTTAGCCTCGTACCTGAGGCTAAGTGGTTTGAGCTCGGCAGCCATTAGATGTTAATTTGAAATTAGGGTAAGAGGTAAGCAAACCTTCACACCATGCTGGAATCCTGGTTCCATAGCTCGCTAGGTGTCTGACTCCTGAGTCTTCGGCTCTCACCTGGATACCTTCTTTATGGGGTGGAGGTTTCAACTAGATAGACCAGGCAATAGATCGGGTCAGGCCTGGCATGCACCAAAGCGGCTAGCAGAAGCTGCTACTGTGAACAATAAGTCTCCTGCTGCTGTAGGAGAATCCAGTCGGCACCTCACAAGCATCCCACGGGGGCTCAGTTAACTGCATTAAATGAATGCTTAGTCTATTGCTAGGTATTGGCTGCAGACCAGGTTCTTGGATTACAAGACCCATTAATCAAAGTTACAATTTAGAACTCAGAAGTCTTTGACTTTTCTAAGTCCAGTTTTAATAATTAAAAAAAAAAGAAACCCTCATTCCTGTGTCCTTGAGAATAAAGAAGCAGATGAGAAAGGAGGTAACTGCCCACTGTGTCCCAGATGTTAATCAGTAGCACTTGGGTTCACCCCTCCTAGACTCGTCCTGTGGAAGTTACTCATGGAACCCAACTTGGACGTTTGGGTCCAGCTCTTCTTTGCTGTCAGCCTCTTGTGCGTAGTGATGAATGCACACAGAGAAAATAGAAAAGCCCTCCGACTGCACTGACTGCTTTCTTGATCCCTCAATTACAATATCCTCTTTTGCAGTATATCCCTGCCGAACATTTGGAACGAATTAGGACTTTAAACTTCCAGATGTTCAAACTACTACTGTAAATTTAAACTCATTAAAGAGAGGGCAGATTTACTACCTCTACTTAGTTTTGAAGTCTGTTGTTCACTCTATCCAAGTGCTTTATGGACACAAACACAGTGGCATGTCCTGTGTTCTATTTATATAGCATGCATGTGGGGAAGTAAGAGGCGTAAAAACAGGTCTGGAAAGGGAACTGCCAACCTATAGTTCAGACTTATTGTTCCTAAGTCAGCAATTATTTCCTGAAGCTGACCTAGGAGATAGTTTTATATTAATCTGTGACTTTGCTTTTCCTGGGCATAGAAAGCTGGCCAGAGCAGCCTTTGACAGTGGCAGGGCGAGAGCTGCACCCACTCGTGAAATAAATGGACCTGGGCCCACAGCCCTTTGTGGTAGAGTCTTGGCAGCTGAACAAAGGTGGCAGCATTTCTACATCCAGTTTGTAAAGCCTCAGAAGTCGCGGGCTCCAAGATTTCCCCCCACAAGAAGCCCACGTCAACTATAATGAGTGCATTTTCGATGTTGTGCTGAAAACTGGCAGTGGATGAAAGAAGTCTGTGTCCAAGACAAATATTTCCTTTACAAACCTGAAGAATGAAGTGGCTTTCATAATCAATTTTAAGATCAAATGCCTGGGCTGAAGTACCTGGTTCTGGTCCTGGTTGGCTATTTAATTTTGGACAATTAATTTACCTCCGTGCGCTTGCTTTCTTCACGGAGAAACGAACGAGATAATGAAGGTGCTTTGTCAGCGCTGAAGTATCGTGTAAATATTAACAAACACTGCACAGACAGCTTCCCTGTGCCTGATGAATCACTTCACTTCACGCAGGGCTAAGAAGTGGCCAACCCCCAGAAGAAATGAAAATAAACCAGACCCAGCTCACTTATTACAGAGGGGTCGATCTCCAGAAGAGGTCTCTTCCAACTCAAACCCCTACTGAACTTGCTGGAGTCTATCAAAGAAGGCAGAAGTTACATGCGAATTCGAATGAAGGATCCGTTCCCGTCTATTTTATAGAGCCACCAGCCCACAGGAGGATTCAACTGTGTAACTTCCCCCCAGAACTGAAAGTAAACGCCAAGAGCAAAAATTCCTGAAATTAGATGTTGTTGGACTCTAGTGTCCAAACCGAGAAGGAGTCGCCCCCAGAGACCACCTCATATACCACAGCCGATGCAAAAGCATGAGGATTTTATTAATTCTGTCATGACAGGGTCCCCCAGCATTCGGGAAGCTGAGAGACCCCAACTAGCTGGTACAGTCTACTTTTAAAGAAGGCCCCATAGAAACAAGAGGGGTTGTTCCTTAACCATTATGATTGGCTTGTTCGAGAAGGGCTAATACCAATAATTGACTGGAGAACTATTGTCAGATCAGATGAGGTAAGATGTCATTTTGACCCCGTTTCCCAGGTGACTGAGTCAAAACATACGTGTATGGGTAATTGTTCAGGAACTGAGTACGTGCATGTGTACCTGTTAGGTCCTTGGTTCCCAGGGGAGGAGGGGAAGCACTAAGGCACGGAGGCTGAGAGGGTTTGGAATTGTCAGAAATGGCTTCAGAATTGTCCAAAATCTTACAATGTTAATTCTTGAATATATTTCTTATGACATTTTGCAAGCTGTCCAGATAGACTTCTTCAAACTACACAAGGCTTTCGTGGATACTTTTATTTTCCTTCGCCTTAATTTTAATAAATCTAATCTACTGAAGTTGTGCGTGTTGTTTGTATGGTTATTTAAAAGTAGAGTTGCGGGTGGGGGTGGGCTGGAGAAATGGTTAGGTGGTTAAGAGAGTTCAGTGTTCTCGTAGAAGACAGGGCAGGTAGTTCCCAGCATCCACGTCTGGCAGCTCACAACAATCTGTTAACTCCAGCTTCAGGGTCTCCAACCTTTGCTCACAAACACACATACCCCCCATACATATATAAAATTTTTAAATAAAAATTAATCTTTAAGAAATAAAATACAGTTGTGGTCCCATGGGTCAACTCTAGGCTGTAAGTTCTATGGGTCAGTGTACTTGGTTATTGCCAATACTTGTGGAGAAGTCTGGCATATCTGTGATATAGCTAGCCACCACAGTCACCATTTTCTAATTAATTTTTGTTTGCTTTTTGAGACAGGGTCTCCCCATGTAGCCTTGACTGTCCTGTGGGACCAGGTTGGCCTTGAACCTAAGAGATCTGTCTGCCTCTGCTTCCCAAGTGCTGAGGTTAAAGGTGTGTGCCACCACTGTCCAGCTAATTATTTTATAAAGTAGAAATTCTCCACCAAAGCTACACAGACTATGAAAATCCTTTTTCTGTTTACTGAAAAGGGGTTCTCACTGGTTTTTTTTTTTGTTGTTGTTGTTGTTGTTTTTTAAATTTTTCGAGACAGGGTTTCTCTGTAGCTTTGGGGCCTCTCCTCGAACTAGCTTTTGTAGACCAGGTTGGTCTTGAACTCAAAGATCCGCCTGCCTCCCGAGTGCTGGGATTAAAGGCATGCATCACCACCGCCCAGCCGGGTTCTCAATACTGTAACCTTGGCTGGTCTGAAACTCACAGCAATTCTCCTGCTTGAGATCCTCATATACTACACCTGGCATGAAAACTCCTTTTTAACAAATTAGGGCTTTACCCAGGGTGCAGCTCTGGCGGAATGCTTGCCTGGCACACATTTCAACTTCCACAAAGCCCCAAGCTGGAGATTCCCAAACACAAAAGATGGCGCCTTCACACGCTTCTGGCTACATGCTGCGGTGGACCGAAAACGGGACCCATTTTGCAGCTGCTGCCGTCTAAGGGAATCTATTTGCTCATCTCTTCTACCTAGGCTAGCCAAGTGACCTGCTTCGACAATATGTATAAGTGATCCCCCCTGAGTTTGAGTCCAGACTTTGAAAGTACCCTTGGCACCTTGGTACTCTTAGGACCACAATGACATTAAGATAAAGACCACATGGAGAGACCAACCATCCCACCTAGACACTAACAAATTTTCAAACAAAAGACAGCCCACACGACCCTTGCAAAGAAATCATTTAACCAATCTCAAAGAGAAAAGTGAAATTCTTTCTTTAAGCCATTAAGTCTGGGCAGCAACAAGGCATCAAGAATAAATTATCTAATCCTCACAGACCGCCTTATGGTGGAGGAAACAGACCTTGGTTGGGATAATCTGCCAGGCACAACACTCGTAAGTGTCCCAAGAACTTGAAACAAACGACAGACCAGGGCTGATTGGTCGATTCTCTCTGTTAAAGACAGAAACACCGTGCAGAATGCCAACAATATAAAGTTGTTTCGTCTTTTATAACCTGCATAGGCAACTTGTCCCAATTTGACACACCCACGGGGCTTGACCCAGCACTTCAGCAAATGATCCTACATCCTACAAACGCATTTTCCTACACCTTAAGCCACATACGAAAAAAGAACTAGAAAGTACCTCATCTCAAATTGTAAATCATGAGGGTGATTATTAAATAATCATTTTAAGAAAATGTACAAGAATGTGTTCTGATCTGCCAAAAATACCTCGATTTTTGAAATTTAAACAAAATTCACATTTTATTTAGATTGAAATAAACTGTACAAAATTGATTTTATTCACCAAAAATAACAGTAATATTTTCTGTATTACTTTTTAGATAAACCACAAAACATTTATTTTTGTAGGTTTGCTTATAAATCAAGACACGGCGGTAGACATAATCACGAAAAACAAGAAAACGGACTAGTCGGTTGCCTGTATGGGTGGCCTTTGCCTGTCTTCACCGTGGAGCAGAAGTGAATTTACCTGTGGAAAGGGCTATGGAAATGTGGGCTCAACAAAGGAATGCAAACAGCAACAACCAAACGGGTAGACAGCGCCTGGCTCTGCCGTTCACCTGTTCCTCTGGGGTCCTTCTGTCCTGGACAGACTACTGAAACCTGCTTGCTGAGCTCACAGACTTCCTTTGTAATTCCTGGGACTGATCATCATGCAGTTGGATTCTGTTGCTTTTTTTCCTTTCTTTTCCGCTCTTGCAATCCTGAGGTTTGGGCTTGTACGTGCTCGGCAAGTGCTCCACTGAGCTATCCCCGGCTCTTGTTTTTTTTTTTTTTTGAGACAGTTCCACTACGTAGCCCAGGCTGGACTAAAACTTGTGATCCTCATGCCTCTGCCTCCCAAGTGCTGCTACCACAAATTTTAAACACCCATAACTCCTACAGGTCAAAAGTCAATGGTGTACTTCATCGCAATACATTAAAAAATGTATCTCTCACAAATTCATTTTTCAAAGGCCTGATAACGCAACAGCTGACAACTGAATCCACAATGATAATGTTATATCTAAAACAGCTTTAACTTAAACAGTTCCCGAGTGCCACCAGCAGGGAGGCATTCTGACATTCCCAACGCCAACTCCCGGGAGCAGACAGGTATGGAAAGCATGAGAGTTCAAACAGGGGCCAATATGTGGACTACCAACAGCTAATGACGCATTTAACTGGAGGTCTCGTGGCAAGGCACGCAGCGGTTAACTGACCCACCGCACCTTACGCTTTTCTTCCAAACGGCAAACACAAGAATGACAGTCGTTTTAGAAATCTATTAGGCATTTTCAATGGTTTCCGAATTATTCGTGGGAAGCTCTGGTTTATTTGTATAGAGTTTGATGTATGTGTCCACCATTAAATCCAGATCATGTTTTATATCAAAATTTATGTTAAGCAAAGCCAGATTACTTGACCTCTGGTCTGTCAAAGTGTTCCGCAGATACGCCTTGAGACGCTTCCGTCCATTTTCATAGCGCTCGTTCTCAACCTTCATCACAGGGAGAATACACAGGACCTTCAGCAAGGCATACACATTGGGGAAAAACTTGATGTCAGGAAGATGGAGAGCCTCGTAGATGGTGGACGGGAGCTCGATGTCTTTCCCTCTGTGCTTCCACTTGATCCTCCAGCAGTGCAGCTCGGCCGAGAGCGTGTCGGGATTGGGGAGGTCACTTCTGTACATGTCGGCATGGTGCTCCTCTGAGGTGTTGAATTTGAGCTGCCCCATCACCGAGGGGACCAGAGACAGGCATTTCAGAGCTTTGAGGTGCTGCTCAGAAAATATATCTTTAAGCTCCTGAATAATGTGCTCCACCGTGGGAACACTGAGGGTGTCTTTATAGTAACTCTCAGAGGTTAGCTGAGATTCCAGGTTACCTTGCTGGGCCCTCCGGAATTTCCCTGGGAGTTTCATTTGAATGTCAAGTTTGGTTGCTAAGTTTGTGGCTTCCTCAAACCAAAACTCGTGATAAACTTCGATGTTCTCCATCACCTCATTAAGCGAATGTAGTACTGCAGTCAGGCTACTGGCTGCAAAGAAGACATCCGAGGTTTGTCCCTGGAGATTCTTCCCAAAGGCTCTCGTAAAAGATAACACATTCTTAAGAACAACAATGGTAACAATGAAATCAAAGTCTGTCACTGCGCTACAGAGCACAAACGCTCGCCCCGCTATGCAGTTATTCCACCTGATACTCGTGTCGCTGTTTATGCCATCTAAACACAGAACAAGTGCTTGCAGGAGATCCACCAAGACCTCAAAGGCGTCGTGCCTGCCTGTCCACTGGGAATGGCAGATTTCCTTCAGTTCCTTCCCTCGCTCTTCGCTGTTCTGGAAAAGAACAGAGATCACATTGTCAAGTTCTAAGAGCAGCTGTGGTGACCGGTGGAAAAAAGAACAGACTTCCTCGATCGTCCCTAAAGCCACGGACACCCCGATCACAGGGACAGACTTCGCCAGCCACGCATTTAAGGCACAGGAAGAGCAGAGGGTGTAGACGGCCTGGGGGTATTTTTCTAAAAGTCTTGAAGCAACAACTTTCATCTTGGAAGAAAACCCACTGGACACAATGTAGGCCTGACCACGGCAATACTCCATATTCAACCCCCACTTCTCAGTTATTGTAGTGTGAAATTTCACAGCCAAAATCTCTGCATCGGCTTCGTACGGCAGGAAGCCCACAAACTCCTCTCTCAGGTTGTGAGCTTCATCGACAAACCTCACCAGCACGGGCAGGTGCTCCTCCCCTGCTATGTCCACCACGTCGTCTGTGATGATAGAAAAGAAGTGTGAGTCCCTCACTTCCCTGAGTGTCTCCTCCCGGATGCAGCTCTCGCAGATCTCCAGCATCTGTCTCTGCTGAGCTTTAGAGCAGAATAGCGTGTTCACCGCTGTGGTCTCAAATCGCTTCCGCAGGACCTCTTCTCCAGAATTGATCCGGCACTCCAGCAAGGCCTGAAAGTTGTCTGGAGCAAAGAGGCCTTCTGGGACCTCGTCAGCCTCGTGCCCATCCAAGGGTATGTTCTGCTTCCCCATGAGGATCAGGATCTCAAACAGCGACTTGAGGTACTCTTTGTTCTCCTTCTCTTCGAGGGTGAGAGGTAACACGCTTGCATCCTGCTGGCTCCCCGCTTCGGCACTGGGGTTCTGAGCAGTGTTGTTCGTTTCCTGTTCTTGTTCACAAGTTTCCTCAACTGGAAAACAAAGGAACCACAAAAGACAAAACAGATTACAGTTTTGATTGGCTAAATATTTAAAATCTACAAACTCATTCATTCACCATTAAAAGAACACCGACAGAATAGAACCCAAATTAAGTTAGTAAAATGACAAATGCTGTGGACAGACTTTAATAAACATAAACACTGTTATGAAGTAGGGACAATTTTTAATAACATTACACCATGACAGGTATCTTACATCCTACATGTGTCACACTACCTTCTTCAGGCGGATGCCATCAACCCCATTTGACAAAGGACAGTAAGTAACTCACCAAGTCCCCAGATAAAATTACAAGGATAGAAATGAAACGAAACCCAGGATCCACAGAGATGCTGCCTCTATCTGTTAAGCCACTCTTCTATATGGAAGCCAGCTCTACAAAAGCCAACATAATACAGATTCGTATAATAGGGTTGGGGTCAATATGAGAGTATTAACGAGCTCAGTCTAGTCTTTTCAAATACGGACAGGGAAAGTGTCTTGTCTACAGCCATACAGGTCAGTAATGGTCCTAGGAAAAGAATTAGAATCTGAAGAATCATTTAAAACCCAGCTCTTAAAGTCTAGGTCTATGAGAAAACCAAAGATTGGACAGCATCCTGGGGAGGGACAGGAAGCTGCCTTTAATAATTACATGAGTGTGGGGAACACGGGCAAGGAAGGCACAGCAGGGGGTTGGGGAACACCCTCCAGTCAGAGCTCTAAGGTGGCAGAGCAGTCCAGGGTAAGCTGTGCTTCTAGGCACCCCAGGCTCTCAGAGCTCAGCAGGGCCAGGGAAGATCCCCCTCGCTCAGTGTATGTGGTTCCTCCTCTATTACATACACCACCCAGAAAGAAAGAGGTTATCCTGGATGTTTGCCTTCCTTGCTGTCCCCTACCTTCTGCCTCTTCTATTCCTTCACTTTCAATCAACAAGTATTAATTCTGCTGTATTATTTCAAAAAGATGCTTAATAAAGCACAAAGAATATAAAGTAAAAGCCTAGTCTCTCTCCTTTTGGATACCATTCTGTATGTGAATCACCTACACACAAGTTCTTCTAGTTCTGGCCCTTCTGACTGCACAGCTGTCTTTCCTAGTCCACAGTGCTCCATGGAAGGCTGGCCATGCTGTCATCTAATTACAAACTCCTCAGTGGGTCCAACTGCTAACAACTCACAACGCTGCAAGTTCTGAACTCTGTGCTCTCTCCTCTGGGTTCATATGTTAAGCGCCATAGGCTATCAGAGACGTTAACAACATCTAAATGAGGGTGTTTACTTCAATCTAGCGGCTTGTTTTGTTCTACTCTGTGTTTCTATCTTTCCTGCCTTTCTTTGCTGAGCATGTTTCCTTATGTATAAAGAAGGAAAATAATATTACGTATCATGCAGCTACTGTGGGATTTAAACAAAGCAACAGGGTGATAAATGGTATCAGCCAAAGCTATGTCCATAGTAGCAGAAGAAGATAAAGGAGGAGAGATGGTGTCCACTGGTAAGAAAAGAAGCAATTTCTAGCCCCATCCTTTGATGGCACAGCTTACACATCACAGCAGCACCTACAGAGACTCTGTAACCACTACACCCAAAACACCAACTGCCTTTACAGCCAAGGAATAATTATGTCCCACGATGTGCATGGCTGGCTTTTCTGGCGCATTCCTTCCCTGCAGGGGCACTCTAAGCACACTGAGAGTACCTCCAGGGGAGAAGGAGTTACGCTCCGCACTCCACACATGACAGTGCGTACAGCACAACTTTGCAGACAGAGGATCCTGCAGGCTGCAGGACAACGTCAACCACAGTTCTACATTCACACTCAAGGAAGGTTTTGGAAATGAAATACATTATTTGAATTCAAAAGTGCGTCATTAACACTATCACTTACTTTTTTTCTGTTTCAGTGTTCTGATTTCATCTTCACTCTAAAAAAGAAGAAAAAAATTTAAGACAATCATCTTTAGTAAATCATCTAGACTTGAAGCCTGTTCAGAGCAAAAAAAAAAAATCTCATTTAAGAGTTTAAGGAGTTTTATTTCTAAAGAAAGTATCTCATGTACTCCAGGGTGGTCTTGAACTAAGTAGCTGAGGATGACCTTGAACGTCTGATCCTTTTGCTTCTACCTCCCAAGTACTGGTTTATGTGGTGCTAGGAATCGAACCCAGGCCATCATTCATGCTACACAAGTGTTCTGATCAGCTAAGACTACATCCCTAGCTCCAGAGAAAATCAATTCTTCATGTTGAATACATTCTTAAAACAGATGATAGGAAACCAAAACCATGTGATGTGATCAAGATTCCAAGCTTATAATGAAGTACTAAAGGAAAAGTCACGTGTTATTTACCCTACTTTCTCCCTAACGTATCCTAACTGGACAGATGCGTACTGAGTGATAACCGCGATGAAAATACACCACAGCACTTGTCACATTCACGAGGACACAATGACTCCTCTTCCCAACCTAACCCTAAATGCCACAAAACCAGGAGGCTGCTGATTACAGAACTTCATGAATGATAATGAGAAGGCCTAGGAAGCACAAAGTGAGGCTCCAGCTCAGAAGAGACCCCAAAACAACCATCACAGGTAGAACTTTCCAGATCAGTCTTTCATTCTCTCAGTAACACTCTCTAGTGTTTTTATACACCCCCCCCCCCACTATCTGTGGCAGGAAAACAGAGCCAACGAAAGCCAGAGACAGCAGGGCACCCGATGGGCAGCTCGGACACTGCCACTAACAGAACCATTAGCACACTGGTTAAGTTGACAGCCCTCCCCTAACCCAGCGGGTGCAGTTAAGGAATGGCAGTGTGGAAGTGTGCCTGTCATGAGAGGTGGGGCACAGGGAAGCAACAGCTAATGCGAGGGATCATATGAGTGTGAGCACTCATCCAGGACAAATCCCAGAGAAGCAGAAGGGAAAAGGCAAGGAAGTAAAAATCAGCATGAAAGATTAAGTCCTGAGATGTAAACTCATCATCAGACTACTCAATACAGGAATTGAAAAATACATTATGGTACTTGTTTATTAATTGTTTTGGTGGTGCTTGGGGACTGAACCCAGTGCCCCGCAAATGCCAGGCAAACACTGTAACACCTGGCTATATGCCTGACCCTGTTCAATAAAATTTAAATGTCCACAATAAAAGACTTCAGAAAAGCTGGACAGTGGTGGCACACACCTTTAACCCCAGCACTCGGGAGGCAGAGGCAGGCGGATCTCTGTGAGTTCGAGGCCAGCCTGGTCTACAAGAGCTAGCTCCAGGACAGGCACCAAAGCTACAGAGAAACCCTGTATCGAGAAAACAAAACAACAACAACATCAACAACAACAAAACCCTTCAGAAAATTCTCAGGAAGAACAGTGGACCACTTGAGGAAGCACCAGACTTCAGGGACAATGGAGACACACACACAAGAGCCTGTGGTCTATAGATGCCCTCTGTGTGCTACCTAACATTTGAAATAAACAACATGAAGAGGCTGACTGCAGGAGATTATAGAATACTGCGGCTAAGCAAGCATTACATATACCTCTAAACTGGCTTGGGATACACATGTGAGCCAAAATATTCAGAAAGCTAGAAAAAGTTTAAAAAACAAAAAAAGTATATCCCCCAAATCAAGAGGAAACTAGCAAAATAATTCACAAGTACAGTGATTGTTGATAACTAATTACCAACTCTGAAAACACTACTGAAGTAATTTGGGAACAGAGACATTCTAGATGAAGATCGTAAACTTCTGAAAACACAATTAAACCAAGAGAAGAGAAAACCAAGAAACTGGGCAAGCAAACAGACCTCCCACCCATCCAAGCCTGGAGCAGTGTCTACAACACGCAATTTTTTCTTGAAACGAAACAACCCCTGAAGTGTTGGGGAATATTTCAAGCTGTTTTACTTTTGTTTATGTTGTCTTTGTTTAACTCTGTGAAGTGGTGTTACTGTGCCTGCCTAAAACACCTGATGGTCTAATAAAGAGCTGAACGGCCAATAGCAAGGCAGGAGAGAGAAATAGGCAGGGCTGTATGCAGAGAGTATAAACAGAAGAAGAAATCTGGGAGAGGGAGGAAGATGTCAGGGGCCAGGCACGCAGTCACCCAGCCAGCCACAGAGTAAGAGTGAAGGTAAGGTATAAAGAAGTAAGAAAAGGAAAAAGCCCAGAGGTAAAAAGTAGTTGGGATAATTTAAGAAAAGCTGGCAAGAAACAAGTCAAGGACTAGTATTCGTAACTAAGAATAAGCCTCCGTGTGTTTTATTTGGGAGCTGGGTGGTGGACCCCCACAAGAAGTCAAAAGAGTAAAACATCACATAACACTGTAAGAGCTAACTTGTCTTCAAAACTAGATGAGGGGGCTTAGCAGGCAATGGCATGTGCGTCACAAGCCTACCCCGGGCTCCTCTGGTGTCCACACGCATGCCGCCATGGCATGTGTGCCTAATAAATAATTATGTAACTGAAAAGAAATGAACTGGGGTAACGTGTGTATAAGGGTGTTCACCCAAGGTCAACAAAGGATAGGTAGGTTTTAGCTATCTGAAAGGTGGCAAAGGATTATAAAAGCACATATAATTTATATGACATTATAAACTTTTTCTAGACCCTGTCACCAATAATAGCAAAATTCTCCAATCTAAAACAATCTAGATCTCAAATTCTAACTCTCTCCTTTCCTTTATTCCTTTGTGTTGAATTCTGGAAATAGGCTAAATTCATTTTTCTTGCCACCAGTCCCTGGAAAGCAATGAGCTAGTGGCCTTAATCAACAACACACTTTGTCTCAAGCCAACAACTATCAGCTGGCTATATCTGGAGGAGCTTTTCCAAATTAAACAGCACTACGACAGACTAACCATCTCAATAAACACAGCTCACTTCCTAGCACGCTACCTGGGAGACACAGAATACCACGGGAGAGTTGCTAACAAGTGCTTCCATGCTTGATTTAATAGGATGTGCAGAGAGAGCAAAGCTGAGAAGCCAGAGACATACCAACTCTTTTATTCGTTTTCTGTGTCTGCTATGTGGATTGTTCAAATGACTGGTGAGATCAAATATTGTTGGTATTGCATTATCTCGAAGAACTGTACGATAAGGACTCTGCAAAAGAAAATGTATCAATTCAGAAAAGGTTCTTTAAAAAAAGGTAAATAAAATTCTACATTAATGACTTCTCTATAACTTCTTTACCTGTCTCTAAAGTACAGACGTGCAAATTCCGATGCCCTTCTGGAAATCTTATCTGTTCTGTCCTTCCATTAGCTACCAAGTCAATAGGAATCACAGCTCTCCCAAGTATCTATGCCCTTTAATGTTCAATTACAATGCTCCCTCCTTACCTGCCATTCCCTCCACTGTTGTTAGTACTGGGAAATATCAAGGCACAGTAAAAACATGAACTTGACCAATGACTTTTTAGACTCTAGTTTCTTGATCTAAATAGAAGTCAGGTGTCAAGTAGATCACTTCTTCCAAAATGAAATTATTCACATACTAAGGATAACAAAATACATAATCACAATTCTACTAACACTCAATTAGGCATTTCTAAACTCCCTTTTTGTCCCAATGATCTGATCACTAAAAAGGCAGCTTTCTCTGCCCTGCTGTGTCTCATCAGAGGCTGGACCTAAACCTGCATAGTGACAGTCTTCCATAGTGAGCCAAGAGGAAGCTGGAACAACAAGAAATTAATTAAGGAGAGTAACTAATAAATAACTATTATTCCCACTAGTTAGTTCAAGGAGACAGTGACTTTTATTTCTCCCTCCAGTTACATGTAAATACACAAAACACATTTCATTTCAGAGAACTTTCTTAGAAGTAGTGATATTTCAAAGCTGACTTCTCTGAATTTTTTTCACGTTGGTAAGGGAGGCTGGGAAGATAGGACAAATATATCTAAATGAAACAATCTGCTTGGATTCCATCCAAAGAGGTGCTGTGAGCACTCAGGAAGAAGTACTAGTTAGAGTCAGTGTTTTCTAATTCAATCCCATACATCACAGTAAACAAAAAAGAGTCTAATTTATTAATTACTATATTTAATTTTTTGATAAGTTGAGACATGGTCTCACCATACTGTTCAAGTGGCCTTCAACTCATGATCCAATCTACCTCTGTCTCTTGACTGTTGGAATGACAGCTATAAGCCACCATGCCAGGCTGAAATGTAGTTTCTCTCTCTCTCTCTCTCTCTCTCTCTCTCTCTCTCTCTCTCTCTCTCTCTCTCCATCTCTCCATCTCTCTCTCTCTCCGTCTCTCTCTCTTGAGACAGGGTTTTTATGAGTAGCTTTGGAGCCTGTCCTGGAACTCACTCTATAGACCAGGCTGGCCTCGAACTCACATCGTCCTGCCTCTGCCTCCCGAGTGCTGGATTAAAGAGTGCACTACCACCACAGGGCACAAAATGCGATTTCTTAATACTTGGCTTCTAAGCTGGACTAAGAACTCTGAGCTGGGATTGGTATGGACAAAGCTACAGAGAAAAGTTCAGCTATGATAGCCTGGGTTTTTCATCTTTCTCACTAAGCCAAAGTCTCAAAATTAAACACAATCAACATCAAATAGTTAGGTGATTGGGGGATTGGAGGAGGGAAGAGATAAGTCGAGAAAATTTTCAAAATTCAAATTTAGCAGACAAAGCAAAGATCAGAAAAATTAGAATTTGAATGAAAATGATATATTCTATATTCATTGATAAATACACATGTCAAAAGATTAAATCTAACTCACATGAACAATGCTGACTCCACACCACAGTTACTCTTCCCTAACTTAAAGGAAACATACTTATCTTACTCTAGCATCAAAGGTAACAGAGGTTTTGGCTCTGGCAGAACTACTCACGTATGCTAACAAGCTCTTAAATGCCAAACTAACGAAGCCAGCAGGCTCACAAGTTTCAATACAGTTATCATGTAGGCCAGTCTTCAAGCTGTTCTTTCTGCACACACAGAAAGAACACGTCTCCTATTCAGGTTAATTTACTCAAGGTGAAAGAATCATTTGGGAAGTACAAAAAGCAAAACTAGCTACTCTATACTCTGACTAAAGTCAGCTACATTAGTGAGCTAGATTTTAAATTTCTCAGATTAATCAGGCTATAATTACACAGTTAAAAGATGATATTTACTATACTAAAATTAAAAAGTAAAAATGCATGGCTTGTGTATTTTAAAATGATTCATGATATTTTAGCTGAATGTCAAGAACACAAAAGCAGTTTGCCTTTAAAACATATGAAACCTTTAGGCTGATCAGTACAACGCTTGTAACAAAGCAAGGTTAAAAAAAAATTCCTCAAATATTTGTGATTAAATTGTTGAACCGGAATTGGCTCACCTCCCAATGACTTCACAAGTATCTGCTTCAATTAATATTGAGAAATAAAATAACCCAATCATTCTTTAGTTTTCTGATGCCTCTGCAAAATGTATCTGAAAAAAATATCAAAATAAATTGCTGCATAATAATATAGTGTACCTTCAAGTCAAGTTTACGTCTATCCAAACCTAATACAGAACGTTAGTTATACCTAAGAACACTATGGATCTACCAAACTCTTTCTTGTTGGTTTCTGACCCACACACGCCAATCAAATCTGCCTATTTCTTTTATGAATCACATTCTCTTACTAGAGAGTCCTAGAACATTAGAAACCCTAAGATTTTGTTCTGATCTCTTTAGAAACAAGCCCAGAAGGGAAAGGTCTGGGTGTAAGAACTGTTTCACGTTACCCATGTGATACAGATTCTTGTTCTAGCTAGCCCTTAAAATTACGCAGTGGGAACAAGGTTAGTGTTGGTTCTTAAGAGGACATTAAAAACCATGAACAAGAGCATCATTCCTAGGTGAGCCTGCCATTCACAAGAATGCTCTAGAGAGGGGCTGGGGTTAACTCGGTGGTAGAGCTGCGTAGCGTACAGAAGGCTCCGGGTTCTATCCCTAGAACCACATTAAAACCAAACAAAAAACTCTAGAAAAGTAGCTTGAAATGAAGAGCCACAGTATTACACATGTACATTTTCTGTAAGTTTAAAAGTTATTACCTCTAGTGACGGGGGGAGGGGGCATCAAGAAAAGAGGGGTTTAAAAAGTCAAGTTTTTGAGAACAGATAGTATTACTAGACTCCAGACCTATCTTCAACTCAAATGGTATAGGCAGACATTTCAATAAAAACTGACATTGCAAACCAGACACAGCAAGAGGGGAGAAGCCAAGCTACTACTTACAGTTCGACAGATCATAGAGGTCTCAAAGTGTTTGGCACATAGTCGATAATGCTTATTTAGCTGATCGGGGGTTTTGTCTTCTAAGTCTGCTCTCCTACAATTTTCAACCCACTTCTGGCATCTATAAACAAAACCAAAATATAGTTATGAAATATAAAGTCAAAGTTTAAATTTTAGCGTTTGAGCTGGGCATAGGAGCACACACCTATAATCTAGGTACTTGGGAGGTTGAGGCAGGAAGACTCTGAGTCTGAGACCAGCCTAAACTACACAGGAAACCTCATCTCAAAACATAATTGATCTGAGTCAGGCATGGTATATATATTTTGGGGGGGGGGGCTTTCAAGACAGGGTTTCCCTGTGTAACAGTCCTAGCTGTCCTGGAACTAGCTCTTGTAATTCAGACTGCCCTTGGACTCAGAGGGATTCACCTGTCTCTTCCTTGCAAGTGCTAGGATTAAAGGCATGGGCCACTATGGCCGGCCTAATATAAACACCTTTAATCCCAGGTGCTGGGATTAAACAAATAAATAAAATAAATACATCTGGAGCAGGCAATGATATTTTTAAAGGGCCACAGTCCATATATACAAGTTTCGTTAAAAATATATAAACATATTTATAAACAGACTTAAAACAGAAATCTGTGCCAAGTGTGGCACATGACTTTGATCCCAGCACTCAGGAAGAAGAAGTAGGCAGATTTCTGAGTTTGAGGTCAGCCTGAGCAAATCAGGGTTACAAGAGAAACCCTGTCTTGAAAAACAAAAAGCAAACAAACAAAACAAAAACAAAAAAGCCCCCCCCCCAAAAAAAAGTATTGACAATGTAGAGAAAGAAAAATCAGCCATCTGAAATTAATTTCTGTATGTAGTATAAAGATAACTATTTTCCCCCAGCACAGGGAATAGAACCTGGGACCTCATGTATGCTAATCAAGGTCTTTAGTGCTGAACTCCATCCCTGGCTGAAGACACCTTTGGAATCCCCACCAAGCCTGTCACAAGCCTGTTGTCAGATGCTGCATTACAAATCAAGCTTTTACTATTCCCCCGACAAACTGTATTTCCCAATCTTCCTTATGTCAGTAACTGTTTTATGTTAAAAGCCTCAGGAGTCTGGGAGAGACGACTCAGTGGGCAGAACCACTTACTGGGCAAGCCTGGGGATCTGAGTTCAGATCACTGCACCCACACGAAAAGCTGTGTCTGTAGCTCTAACCCTATGGCAGCAGAGACAGGAGGCTTCCCGGGGCTTGCTGGTCACTAGCCCGGCTACAGGTTCAGTACCTACACTACCCTCATACACATACATAATCTCGGGAGTTACCCTTGACTGTTTTCTCTTATAACTCACATCCAAACTATGGGCAAATCAAGTTGGCTTCATCACCAAACTTTATCTAAAATGCACAGTGTGCCTCTTCCTCCTCTTCTGATCTGGACTATTGCAACAGTCAATCCCTGGTCTTCCTGCTTTTGCTTTTGCTCCCCTACAATGAACAAGGAGTAGCCAGAAATCCCTGGGAGAACCTCTCTCAGCTCTAAATTCTCCCGCTTCACTCAGAATAAACCCCAGAGTGTTTCCCACGGACAACTTCCTGTATGGGAGGTGTGTGACTCCCATACACACCTCATCAGCAAGCATGCCTTGACTTCACTCTTCCGGTTTCCAGATTTCCTAAGATATTTCATGGATGTCCCCTGCCCTAATTCAACTCTTTGCTCAAATTCACTATGGTGAGACTTTTATTGTTCCCTCTTGTTTATAATAGCATTTGTGCCTCCCCTTTTATAATTTTTTTAAAAAATGGGTGAGACAAGATCTCACAACTGTAGCCTTAAATGTCCTGGAATTTAATTTAACTCAGGCTGGCTTCAAAATTCAAGCTAATTCTCCCTGACTCCTCAGGGCTGGGATTATAGAGCATGTCACCAAACGCAGCTCCCTGGCTATAGTTTTTTTGTTTTTTGTGTTTTTAAAATCTACTTATTTATATGCATGAGTGTATTACACTTTGGGCCTGGTACACACAAAGGCAAGAAGAGGTTGTGCATGAGATCCCCTGGAATGGAGTTACAGATGGTTAAGTCACCCGAGGTGAACTCAGGTCTTCTAAGAGCGTAGCAAGTGCTCTTCGGCGCTGAGCCGTCTTTCCAGTTGCTCCTTGGCTACCTTTAAACTCTTCCAACCTCACTTGTATTTTTCTTCAGGGTATTTTCTCATTTTGGGGCACACTACTGTAAATATTTTACTTGCCAGTTTCCCACCACTTGAACGTAATCTCTGAGAGCAGGGAATTTTCACTGGCTCATCTGTTACCCTGCGCGCAAACCAATTTCTACCAATTGTAGGCTTTCGATAAATATTTGTCCAACTAATAAAGAGCATGCTACATTACAACGCCTGTTGATAGACCCGATCCCTCCACGGATTAGGCGCTTTCTGCGGTTCCTGACAGCATTCCCAGGGTCCCCAGCACCTGACATGAGTACTCCAAACACGGCTAAGCACTGACTTTTAAATGAATGGACCAACAAGAGAGCCCCGTGAAACGCCTGCTGCCTATCAATCACACTCAGTTCCTACGCCTCTCAGAGCACGACCCGGAGGATGAGCTGCCCCAAGGGAAGAGTGAAGTTTCAATACCTATTCCCACGCCCTCACACGCGTCCTCGGAGCTCCCCACAATAACCGAGGGAGACAATGAGTAACGGTCTGCCTTTGAACGCTGCGAGCGATGACAACCCCGAAGGAGGCAGCAGTTGTGACCCGATTGAAGATCAAAGCAAGCGGCCCGACTCCAAACAGAAAACACCGTCCCAGGAGCAGAGGCAGGGCCGCCGGGACCGCAACCCGGGAGTCCTACCCTTCCCTTGACAGCTAGGAAACCGAGCCGGATGACTGAAGGCGCTCGGCGCCCATTGGATCCCCTTCGCGCCCCCGGGGTGACACCCTCTCGGCCGGGTCCCCGAGGGCGCAGCAGCGCACGTGCGCCCGACTCCCCGCCGCCTCCGCGCCCCGCTCACCTACCTGGCCGGGTCCCGAGGGAACCTGAAGAAGGCTAGGTCGGACTGCGTGCTCTTCCGTGTGCAGTTCGGGGCGGCGCAGAAGTTCGGCATGGTCGTCCGGAGGGCAGCAGCACGGCCGCCCCACGGGGCTGGGGAGGGGAGCTGGGCCAGCCGGCCGGCTCCCGAACACTAAGATGTTTAATTGTCCTGTATCTGGGAAGATTTTTCATTTTTACTGCTAAATGAAACATAAGATATCATCTTGATACAAATATCAGGTGATTGTAGTCTCTCCTCAAATCAGATAAAATGGTTTTTTCTATAATGAGACAATTATTATGAAACCA